GTTAAATTGTTATTCATATTCTAGCTTTACCTCAATAATTTTTTTTGTCAACATTACAAATGTCCATTAATTGTTCGGACATGTCGGTACGTGGGTACGTGGGTGGGCAACATTGTTAATGAACGTGGGGACATACCTTTAACCTAGCGAGAAAGAATATAGTCGCATGCATGTTGTATTGCACATCACTTGTAATTATTTTCCAATTCTGAGAACCAGCGTATATTCGTATTTGAGGCAGTTTGCCATGCTGGATATTGATTCCCCTACCATAGTACTGCTGTATCCGTAGTGGGCGTGGAATCAGCTTCTGCAGTAACACCGATTCATTCAATGATCCGTGCCGTTCAGTGGCGTTGTGTGATAGAGTACGTGTCGAGAATAACGCCCTCTTCGGAGCTATGGTTTTGAATTTTGTATTGTGTTATTGGTATACACTATAACATAGAGGTATTTCCCCTATACTCTGTGCGCTTGTAGGACGAGGGACACAGCGAGTGGGTATCATGCGTTCGCTTCTCGCCCAACAACCAGAACCCAATCATCGTGTCCGCCGGTTGGGACCGTCTCGTCAAGGTACTATTCTCTATTCAAGACGCGCCTCGTTTGTACTCTGCTCTTCCGGTGTTAGCATATGCTTGCATCACTGATATTGATTAGCCCATTGTGCAATGATGAAATTTGTACCATAAACCCCACACAGCCACCTGGGCATGGTGGGGTGTTGAACAGTGCATTCCTGATCCCAGAATACTCGCATGCATTACTCACACCTTCCATATTCAGCAATGCGCAATGGGCTTATTTAGGTAGGCTGCTTTCACGTTAAGTTTTTGTGCATTTTGAGTGTTGGCGCATAACACTGCCGCCTGTGGTGGTGCTTGCACTTTTGCTGCGTGGTCTGGTTAGGTCTGGAACTTGACCAACTGTCGCCTGAAGACCAACCACATTGGCCACACTGGATACCTCAACACCGTCACCGTCTCCCCCGACGGTTCCCTGTGCGCTTCCGGTGGCAAAGACGGTCTCGCCATGCTCTGGGACTTGAACGAGGGCAAGCATCTGTATACTCTTGAGGGTAAGCAGGTCTTTCCCTTTTTTTTTTTTTTTTTTTTTTTTCTTCTACAAAATCCACATATCTCCAGACACTTACTCCTAGGCATTGCTGTACCCTACGCTGCTTGTTGCTACAGACAAAGGGAAGTTTCTTCAATTCTTTATATTTTCAATGTGAATTGTTGAATCGATCATGATTATGTACGAACGTCTGATACATTCCCACCTCTGTAGTGTTGCCGCTATCATTGATTTGCTAGTACAGGTATTCATTGTCTAGTTTTGTGTGTTGCCCTGACTTGAAAAAAACTGTTTGTCTCATTGACGTTCTTTTTCTGTTTTAAATTTGTTTTCTTTCCTCTGTTGCTTTCTCTCGATGTCTCCCCTCCCTTCTGATTTGCAGGTGGTGATGTCATCAACGCTTTGACATTCTCCCCCAACCGCTACTGGCTGTGCGCTGCATGCGGACCCACCATCAAGGTCTGGGACTTGGAGACCAAGAGCGTCGTTGACGAGTGCACCATCCAGGACCCAACCCAGACCGTAAGTTACTGTTTCTGCCTTGGGCCCTCCACTTTCTCCGTTCCTCTGTTGTATGTGGTTTTGATTGTCAAGCTCTACTGCTGAGCCCTGCACGCACACACTAACTCATGACAGATGCCTGAAAGGGTTTGGCAGACTAGGCAGGAGTTGTTGCGATCTCTGTTCTCATTCGACTCGTATTGTTTGCCAATAGTGAAATGGCTTGTGGCTGTTGAGGAATGCATTCACTGTGTGGGGTTTCTTTGGTCTCTAGCAGTGGCATTCCTTGCAGTTGAAGCTGACAAACATTTCTCTGTACTTCCAGGGAATATTCTCGTATTTGGTATTGCCGTGTTTGGAACATTTGCACTTTTTTCCCGACACCGTCACACATAGTTCTGTTTGCCTTTCATGCTTGAAACTGGTGTGATACTTCTTCCAACATTGATTCCCTATCTGCTCTGTCGGTATTTGTGTTTGTTTACAGAGCTCCCAGGAGGCCGCCACCTGCACCTCCCTTGCTTGGTCTGCTGACGGACAGACTCTGTTCTCCGGATACACCGATGGCCTCATCCGCGTCTGGCAGGTTACCCGTAGCGCCAACTAAGTACTGTCAGCATTTGTTCATGGTTCCAGTGTCCATCTGCTGGTTTCATTTTTTTACCTGGCTGCAGCAGCAACCGCGACATTCGTTCAACTTTCGTTCCTTGTCGCTGTGTTTTGTCTTCCTCTACACTTCCATCTTGCTGTCATTGTGTGGTTCTGCTGCTGCTTTTGGCTATGTGGGTAGGCGGCATGCATGCACATACCAATGCTGCTGCTACTCTGCTCAACATCATAACAAAGAGGGAGAAAGAAGAATCTAATAACAGAACAGCTACTCTGCGTCTGTTTTCGTCATAGTGTGTAGCATGCTTGGGGTGCTCTCTTTCATAACATCACTGGGAGTTTTGGACGGAATCCTCAACTGTCTAATTGTAGGTCCTTTGAACAAATCGTGTTGTATACACACCTAAGTGACCTTGATCTTGCCAATTGTGTATACAATGATAGCGAATGTAGAAAGTTCAAGTGAACATGAGTGCAGAATTTGGCATGCTGTTCCTTGTCGATGAAATGGGCAGAGCTAGAGGATCAGGAGCACGCTCAGACAACACATCGTTCTCAAGTCTTCAAGAGTAGTATGTAAACTGGGGTTACCGGTGTGTATTGTTGAAGTCGTGTTGTGAGCAACTTTATTTGTTTTATTTCAGTCACTGTCCAATATAATTATAGGCAATAATATTCCAATACAGCAAAAGTCAACTCGGAGGGGACGTTTAGCTGACCATATGGCCATGGCATGCTTCGACTCCCAGTCCGGGGCTAGTCCCATTATCATCATTGCATGCATGCAGCGCAGATTGAGTGCATGCAGTGTCGTTTTGGTAGAGGCTGAATAAACATGATTACAACAATTGTAATTTTTGTTCGTGCTGTAGCTGTGACGTCGTGAGCTAATGATTGATGAGTCACATTTTTTCGGTGCATGAGGTAATGCATTTTTTTGAAATAGCACGACTCGTACAACAGAAACTGCTACTTTCTTGCCAATGTTGGGTTATGTAGCCTCTTGTCTTGATACTAAAAATTAATAAAGTATACTACTAGTATAGTCAGCAGGGAGTCGTCAACAAACAAGCAGTGGATTAGTTCTAGAGTAGAGGTTAGCGCGAGGGCTTCGCGTAGAGCAGTCGAAGCTAGCTGTCTTCACTAGCTTTTAGCAAGAGTCCATAACCGCCGTGGCTTTAGTGATCCGTGGAGAGCACTTGAGCTCGTTGCGTTTGCCACTCTTGACTTCTGTAGAACACTACAAGCTGGCAGCAAGCGACTCACAGCTTCCGCACGATAGTGCAGACTGATGAGAATTATAGTCTCGCCTAGCCTAACGCTCCACGGGCAGTAACTGATCAAGTGCAGTGACAATCCGTTGTTTTTCATTTCGCGAAATAGCACTCAAGGCTCATGCTGCAGTACGCCCTTTGCTCGAGATCGACTCTCGTATCAAACCAGAGTTATGCCAGCCGACATCTGCTGTGAGCGATCAACGCCTATTGCAAGGACTGGGCCCTGCACAGCGGCTTCATGAATCCGTTCAGACTGTTGAGCCAGTTACGTAACGCACTGTTACGCAGACGCGTGCTTGTGGCGCTGATCGTGGTGGTGGTGCTAACCTACATGTTCGTCCTGGATCTGAAGTTTGTGGGCAAGGTAAGTATAGGTTGAAATCTGCCTCTACATGTACTACCACTACCAAGAGTACATAAACCAGAGTGTGCAACTCGGGATGATTCCTGTGGGAGCGTAATTCGTGCACTACGTCATTTCTGACGGCATGGTAAGCCACAGGTACGGTGAAAAGTTGCGTAACCAGTTGCGGTGGTGCAGGTCACTGAGTTTGTCCTGATTTCGGTTTTTTGATACGGATAGCTTGGTGACTTTACTTGCCGGTAGATGTACACAGTCACACAAAACACCGAAATCCTGAAACAGGACGTCGAAAACCAAGCAAACTTGGCTGATTTCCGGGCTATGAAACATGAAAATTTGAGCTGTACGCAAAGTCGCGGCTTGGCTGACCTCATCAGGGTGACGTAGTGCACGAACTGCGCTGTTTCAGATCTGACATGCACAGTTGCACACTCTGGCTTATGTACTCTTGCTACTACTAGCTCTCTGCATGTGTGCGTAGGCGCGCATGTGTGTGTGTGTGCAGCCGTGCGTGTGTGTGTGTGTGTGTGTCTGTATCTGTGAGAGCCCCTTCAATCAGCTGGGTGGTGGGGATCAGGTTAAACTGAATGGCAGGCCGCAGCCCTGCACACTGTTGAATAGTGTACAGTCTGGGCACAAGGTTCTACATAATATAGAGTTGTGCTCGTTGGAATCACCACCCCTGGGTATGGCAACTACCCCATGCCTAAAGTGAATACTCAGATTTCAGAAATTTTCGGTGTTCAATATTTTCGGTATGAGGGCAAAAGGCCGGGTTAGGTGAACAGAAATTTTAGGTACAGAGAAGCAGTTCCCTATCAGATTATGTGTGTTAGTGTTTGTTCGGTGTATTGAAATTTTAGGTATGAAACAGACGCACCGAAAGTACCGAAAATAAAAGTACACCGAAAATTTGTGAAATTACAGCACTGTAGTACAGTGTAGTCATACTGGCCGAAGTTTAAAAAAACAAAAACCACGCGAATTGCAAAACTGGATCAGTTTCAATTACATCACGGTGCTCCTCCACCTCAGTGTTACTGTAGCGGACATGGAAATCCAGTCGATTGACCCGGGCCGGCGGCCTCAGCGCGTACAGAACGCTGCGTGCACGCGGAGCACATGTTGATCCGATGCGACCACGTACCAGCGCGTAAATGCATCGTGTGTACCGCCTTATCCACGGCTGCATGGCCAGCGCCCTGGGACCGCCAGACGTGCGACCGCGATTTCCATGTCCACCTCGGTGTTACATGCTGTCAACCAACAACAGCACTATGCTTGTACATGTGTATGTTTGGCCTAGCCGCTTTCGTACCACTTCCAGGGCCTGGTCAAGGGCTGCAAAAGTTTAGGGCGCCCAGCTTTGCACTTTGGGTCGGATTTCAGCGAGCTCAACCGTACTATGTAGTATCAGGCCTGGAGCTGGTTTCTGAGGTGTGGTGTACGGTGTAGCCCTGGGCTACTACAGGGGCAGATCACTTCCCCCAGCAGATCACTTTCCCCGGCCGATCACTTTCCCCGGCCGATCACTTTCCCCGGCCGATCACTTTCCCCGGCAGATCACTTTCCCCGGCAGATCACTTTCCCCGGCCGATCACTTTCCCCGGCCGATCACTTTCCCCGGCAGATCACTTTCCCCGGCCGATCACTTTCCCCGGCAGATCACTTTCCCCGGCAGATCACTTTCCCCGGCAGATCACTTTCCCCGGCCGATCACTTTCCCCGGCCGATCACTTTCCCCCCCGCAGATCACTTTCCCCGGCCGATCACTTTCCCCGGCCGATCACTTTCCCCGGCCGATCACTTTCCCCGGCAGATCACTTTCCCTGGCTGATCACTTTCCCCGGCCGATCACTTTCCCCAGCTATTATCAGAATTATAGGACGACGTATACGTACTGCTAGCTCCGTGCACTACATGTGCGTGGTTGTGCGGATGTTTGCGCGCACGTGTGTGTACGTGCGTGCACACACGCGTGTGTGTGGTACATGGTGTGTGTAGCTATCTACCCATGTGTGTGACCTAACCGTGTATTCTCCGTTCTCTCAGCTTCTCGCGCGACAACCGTCAGTTGCCCCGCGATCGCCGCCGGCTGAGTTTATATGGCGTACCCCTCGCCGCTTGAAAGGTATCGACCTGCCAGCAGAGTCTTGCAACCACACTAGCCAGGGTCCGACAATGACGGTTGATGATCAAGGTACGGGAGTGTGTGTGTGTGTGTGCGGGGGGGGGGGGGGCGTGTGTGTGTGTGGGTGGTATGGGTGGGTGCATATGTGTGCTTGTGTGCATGTGTGTGTGGGTGCTGTGTGGGTGTGCATGTGTGTGTTTGTGTTTTTTTTTGTTTGTGTTTTTTTTCCTATGTTCACATACCTGGCTCGAAAATAATAATGAAAGTCTGTGCTGTGTGTGTGTGTGTGCGTGTGCTTGTTCATGTACGTGTACCCGCTGTGTGTGTATTCAAGGTGTGGTGTGTCCAATGCGCTATCTCCAACCCGGCGGCTGTTGTCCGCGGCAACACAACAGCAGTGTACAGCACACGTGTATATCCTGCATGCCTACAACACACTGCTGCAGTCGATGGGAGTACTGTGTGTCCTGCTGCCTACGGCCTCAACAGGTACGCTCTTTGCCTATAGCCAGCTGGTTGTTTGCTTTGCTTCTTGTGCAACAGATAGTCATTATTTTATGACTCCACGGGCATGCTTTCTCAGGCTCAGCTTTCAGTTGATCGGATGTTTTCATTTTCGACATACAGTAATGTTTTCAAGAGAAGAATTGTTGCCGGCCGAAAAGCTGGCCCGGACCGGTTCCACCAGGCCTACACAGTACACACACCCTCTCAGCCAGGTGAACGATCCTGCTGACCTGCCCCTGCAGTGGATACTGTTGGTAGTACATGTACTGTATTTGTATTGGCAGTACTGCCGCTGCTACTATGTGTGTACCTGTTTGATGTGTGTGTGTGTGTGTGTGTGTGTGCGTGCGTTTGTGTGTGTGTGTGTTTGTGTGTTTGTGTGTGTGTGTGTTTGTTTGTGTGTGTTTGTGTGTGTGTGTGTGTGTGTGCGTGCGTGCGTTTGTGTGTGTTTGTGTGTGTGTGTGTTTGTGTGTGTGTGTGTGTGTGTGTATGTGTGTGTGTGTGTGTACACGTGCGTGTTCAATGTGCCTGTTCAATTTGCTCTGCAGAAAGTCAGCGTACGTAGCATGGTGCAGCGATTGCGTGCGGCACTCTCACCGCTCTACCTGGCTGTCCACGAGCAGTTTGAGTTCTGCACGTCCAAGTGCCGCACTTCATCCCAGGTCTGTTTGCTGAAAGCGTAGCAGTACTTTTCGTGGCGTGCTTGAGTGTATGGGCGTGCGTGTGTGGGTGGGTTTGCGTGCTGGGCTGTGGTTTAATTATTATTATAATTTAAAACTCGGATGTTGAGCCATAAATAAATGTGGAAGAGAAAAAAGACATATGGATACGAGTTAAGAGTAACTCTCCATCACTGTAACATGATACTATATACAGTCAGAAAGTGCAATAACTAGGCACAAAACTGACAGAGTACTGAAACATTCGACGTCCTGACACCTAGCTTCAACACATCTCCGTAGCGCTAACCGACAGCCTTCCAACTTGGAAGGTTCAAGGTTATGGAAAGACCAAAGAGGGGAAGGCAAGCGCAACGAAAACGAGCAAAAGCTACAGTCCCAACGGAACAAAGAATGTCGATTGTTACTGGACGATGACGAGACCAGTACGATATTTGACAAAGCGGTCTAACTACAATTCGAAGCAGCAAAGCAGCACACCACCCAACTTGGGTGGGTCATAAATATCAAAGATAAGTAAAGAAAGGGAAGCTTTGCGAGAACGAATTGTACAAGCCGAAAGCCAAACTCCTACAGTACTCCTCATGCATTTGGCTTTCGGCTTGTACAATTCGTTCTCGCAAAGCTTCCCTTTCTTTACTTATCTTTGATATTTATGACCCACCCAAGTTGGGTGGTGTGCTGCTTTGCTGCTTCGAATTGTAGTTAGACCGCTTTGTCAAATATCGTACTGGTCTCGTCATCGTCCAGTAACAATCGACATTCTTTGTTCCGTTGGGACTGTAGCTTTTGCTCGTTTTCGTTGCGCTTGCCTTCCCCTCTTTGGTCTTTCCATAACCTTGAACCTTCCAAGTTGGAAGGCTGTTGGTTAGCGCTACGGAGATGTGTTGAAGCTAGGTGTCAGGACGTCGAATGTTTCAGTACTCTGTCAGTTTTGTGCCTAGTTATTGCACTTTCTGACTGTATATAGTATCATGTTACAGTGATGGAGAGTTACTCTTAACTCGTATCCATATGTCTTTTTTCTCTTCCATATTATAATTTAGTTTATCTTATTTTACTAATGGACGTCCCAACAGGCGAGGACGCCTTCTGACAGGGAACCCTAGGTATGTTTTTAATGTGGTGGAGAAATTCAGCAGGGGACGTCTGGCGGCTTGGCGACGGTCCGCAGGTAGAGCATTCCAGCGAGCTGCGCCATGATAACGAATTGAAATAAAGCCATAACGAGATGCGGCGTTGGGCAAAACGAGGGCCGAAGAGGTCTGGCCTCCTGTGACAGCATTGGAGCGAGAGCCAGCAGATCTCAGTGTATACAGACAGCAAAGTAGAGGGCTGGCCAATCCACATACACAGCGATAAACGAATTTATACGATTTAGTCGATCTCATGCAATAAGGCAACACTGCCTGTTTGCTATTCGACATTAAATAAACCAATCCAATCCAAATCGGGAATAGCTTTCAAACATGACCGTAGCTTACACATCACGTATGTTATAAGCAATCTTGCGACGTTAGGGCCTGTCCATCTGCTAGGGAAATGAAACATCTCGATTTCACTCTTTTAACGTTGATTTTCACAATGGCTGAAGACCAGAGAGTCTGCCTCGGGTGCTGCGTGAAGTGATCCCTTGTAGTGCGTGGAACTGGTCACATGTGTGTTCCTAGATTAGGACTTAACACAGGGGTGTCGGAAGGTATTTTTAGTGTGGTATATGCAGCCATCTGAAGTACGATTTACTTGTGCGGGATTGGTGGCTGAGCCGAAATATTCGGGTATTTCGAGCCCAGTTGAGTATATTTTATTGATTCCTGGGGCGAAACGTGGTACGGTCAATACCGTAGTGACCGTAGCGTGTCCGATGCCCCTGCACTGGCATATCTGGTCACATGTGACTGCACGTGTTGGGTCCTAGTCTGGGCGGCAGCATCAGTACTTGTAACCTGGGGAGCTTACCAGTGCACATACTTCGAAGTATTAACCATGGGGTTAGTGTCCTAACGTTATTTCCGGGGGAGGGTATTCGACTATTCGTGGAAATCCGGTTTTGACACTACAGTGCAACCTGTCCAAGACGACCGCTCAAGGGACCTTCAAAACGTGGTCTCTGTTTCCAGGTGGTCTCCTTATCCAGGGTCATTTGACTGGAAATAGCATCCCTTGGTCCTGGTTGCAGTGGTCTTCTTGGACAGGTGGTCTTCTTGGACAGGTGGTCGCCTTGACAGGTTTTCCTGTATTCAGTATTCATGAGTACCGGCATTGCACAATAGACCTGCGACATGCATCCTGTGTTATAATGGACATCTGTCATGACCCCCATGTACTGTACCATGGTGTGTGGTTGTTTGTACGTGTGCATGTGTTTGTGTGTGCGCATGTGTTTTTTGTTTTTGTTTTTACAAAGACCACTTAAATGTGCATGTGTTTGTGCGCGTGTGGATGCGTGCGCGTGCGTATGGGTGCGTGCATTTCTGCTTACATGCTCAGAGCGTGCGTCATGAGAACACGTACCGTGACCCGATGTTCAAGCACTGCTATGGACTGCAGCTGCCGCAGCTTGTTCGGCCACTCCGCTGACATGCTCTACTGCAGCTGCCGCAGCTTGTTCGGCCACTCCGCTGATATGCTCTACTGCAGCTGCCGCAGCTTGTTCGACCACTCCGCTGATATGCTCTACTCCAGTACTGCTATGGGCTGCAGCTGCCGCAGCTTGTTCGACCACTCCGCTGATATGCTCTACTCCAGTACTGCTATGGGCTGCCGCAGCTTGTTCGACCACTCCGCTGATATGCTCTACTCCAGTACTGCTATGGGCTGCAGCTGCCGCAGCTTGTTCGGCCACTCCGCTGACATGCTCTACTGCAGCTGCGGCAGCTTGTTCGGCCACTCCGCTGACATGCTCTACTGCAGCTGCGGCAGCTTGTTCGGCCACTCCGCTGACATGCTCTACTGCAGCTGCGGCAGCTTGTTCGGCCACTCCGCTGACATGCTCTACTGCAGCTGCGGCAGCTTGTTCGGCCACTCCGCTGACATGCTCTACTGCAGCTGCGGCAGCTTGTTCGGCCACTCCGCTGACATGCTCTACTGCAGCTGCCGCAGCTTGTTCGGCCACTCCGCTGACGTGCTCTACTCCACAACAGTACTACCATCACCACCTTGAACTGCAGCTTTGCATTGTCGTGCTCTGCTACATGATGTGCCGTTGTGAGTGCTCGTTCAACTGACCTCGCAGCTTGTTCGGGCATGGTGTTGGCACGCTCTACTCCACAACAGCTCTAGTGCTGCCACCTTGAAGTACAGCCGTGCTCTGCTACACGATGTGCTGTTGTGAGCGTTCACTCGACTGACCTCGCAGCTTGTTCGTGCACGTTTGTTGATACATTGTACTCTACTGCTACTGCTGCTACTACTGCCAAGTTACCACCTTCGGCTTCAGCCTTGCACTATCATGCTCTGCTACACGATGTGCCCTGGTGAGTGCTCACTCGATTGGCCTCGCAGCGCTGTGCAATGGACTGCGTCACGCTCCGCTGCACCATTCGTACGACATCACGAACTGACGCGCAGGGCCAGGACGGCGTCGCTACGTTACACGACGGAGTTGCCGCACGCACGATGGCTTCCTCCGTCCGATGCTCTACGCATGCCGACGATTATCCGTAGCGTTGACTTATGTTGCTCTCCTGGCGAGGCTGGCACTGTTTGCTCTGGCACATCGTGCAATTGTATAGTGCAGCTGACAGCTGACATGAGCCACTCGACCAGCCGCTACTTGACCGTAGCGTCAGTTGTGCGGTGTTAGTATCGCCCGCAAACGTAGTGTATAACAAAGGGTGACTGCTACGTCGCTTCCAGCTCCGCGGACGGTGGCTGGGATGGACCGCTCTCTCTCTCCTCTCTCTCTCTCTCTCTCTCTCTCTCTCTCTCCCCCCCCCCCCCCCGTCAGTCGTTGTTTGGCCAGTGTGTCACACTGACCCAGCCATGTGTGGTGGATATACCCACGGTTGAATGCGACGGACGTATCCACTACTGCTAATCTGCACCTCAACGTGAGAGAGAGAGAGAGCAAATGCCGAAGAGGAGATTCGAGGTGTTGAAGTATCCTACCGACATACCGATGATGACAATGCCGGAGCCCGAACTGGTGGATAACTATGGATAATTTTGCAATGGGCAAGACATCCTTCTCTTCGTGCACTGAGCTCACCAGTCACACAGTGCGGAGGCTGCAGAGTCAGATTGACGTGTCGCGAGCGCTTTCTTACTTCTGTGAAGCGTTCCGCTGTCGTGTTTGTCGTGTTCAGGACGTCCACCGTGTACCAGCAGCTCATGTTGCCCCTCAAGCATCTAGTGTGTGTGTGGGTGGGTGTGCGTGTAGACATTACACTGCCGGATGGCTGGCTTGTGTCTTGAAGACTTGATTATAACAAGAGTACATCGTCATTGTAATCTTGAACGCTCATGCCTGAACCATAACCATGCTTGACTCTCACGTGATCATTGGTTTAGCTTGCACTAGCTCTGCCGGCCTGCTAGTAGATATTCCCCTTCCCGAGCATGTCGACCCATGTCGGAGCTCAGGACGTGTTAACTTTTCAGCAGTACAACATTTTGTCTACTGTGAACCTCGTCGACAAACTTTCGCTTTAGATGAACTGCCGTAGTATTCATAGCTCTATTGGATATATCACTGTGTATTCACTAATTTAAACTTTCTATGAAGTAATAATTATGGATAGAAGAAGAACTCCCGTCATTGGGAACTGATAAAATCGGTCCTTGGTGTTCGTCCTATTAAAAGAAGTTTCGGCTATACTACAATTATTTTTGTTGTTACTGCTGCTGCTATCGTTGCTCCAGCTCGTCATGCGCCTCATGGATACTTCCGAAGTAGCTTGGGGTAGGGCTGACAATGCACGCTTGCGTAATATAAAACTGTCCCCCGTGAATTCCGCTGCAGAATATCAGACATTCCGTGCAGAATTCTGCGGCATTTCTGCAAGGGAAATGAGCGTAAAAACAGATTGAATTTCCACAACACCACCGAATTTTGTTGTCCCTATAATTTTAGTATAAATTCTGAACCGAAATTATTCGAAATCCTGGTCCAAAAATTGAAAGCTCCAAAATGTACCATGCAAGTTGATTTTGAAAATCACAAGGCCTGTGGGGATTGCCCTATTTAAATAATAATAATAAGCAGGTTGGTTTGGCTGTGGAATACAGCAAAAGCCTCCAGAAAAAGCAGTTTTTTCTCTCTTTTCTGCAATAATCCATGGGATTTTCTGAGTTCTGCGAACATTACTGGATTCTGCGGAAATTCTGCAATCCGCGGAATCCCGGAATTCACGGGGGACAAAATAAAAATAATATTACATGCATGACAGCATCATTCGCCTGGGGTCAGTACTCAGCAGCTCGATATCAAGGCTGTGATCGCATCCAAAAAGTCGACCATGTTGAACTTCCAGGTCCACAGCTGTAATGCACGTTTTCAGATACAGCACAAAGGTATCCGAAATCCTACAATACACTACAAGCACATACTACTGTAAAGCGTGAAATTTTCGCGGCGTTTTCAGAATCCGGACAGGTTTGCGAGGTTTTAATTTTGCGATTGCAGAATGACATTCTTGCTAAACCTTTCATGGATCTCCTTTTCGCGCTGTCTAAATTTCGCGATTTCCACGCGGTCGCGAATTTCGCAGAAATTAGACCATGGCAATAATTTCACGGTTTACAGTAAGTGCTTGCACACGTTGGACACACGCATGCACATACATACACTAGGGGATATGCCGAAGCATCAACAGATCGGTGGCCAATAATGGTATTCTCTTTTCACTCAGTACGACTCCATAGCGCATAATAATAGGAGACGGGCATGAGCCAAATAATAATCAGTAAAAACACAAACATCAAGCGGTCAGAGGGCTTTCTAAATTGCTTGTGTGCTTGAAGGACATACATGAGTAAGTCGAATAGAAATTCTCGTTAAATGGGCCGGTGACAAAGACCACAAACCTTTGGTGCAGTAATAGCAGTAGCAACACTACAAGGCGCAAGTGCGAGATAACAAAACAACAAGGAAGAAGAAACTTAAATGCAAGTAAGGGCACTATGATCGCTTGCCGTTGCCGCTAGTTGATACAACAGCTGAACGCCGCAACTGCAGAAAATATTAGAAACGCCCAGTCATAGAAACGACAAACCAAAAAAACAAGATCGTAGGTACAGCTAAATGACACAACAGGAGAAGAAAGAGGTGGCGGCAGCGCAGAAAGCAGAGAAGAATCACAAAGCACCAGCGGTAGCTAGCCGAGCTCAAAGACTGAGACACGATGGCGAAAAGGACAAACCAAACACTGGCCACAAAATAGCACAATCCTTATCATCAAACATACAATAGTCGAGCTAGCAGCACGTGTAAAAGCAATCGGTCTTACAGAGGTAACAAAGCGGTGCTGCCATACCTCGCAGCAGCAGCAACAACAAGAAACAAGAAAATATCACAGCCTAACATGAATAGCTATTATTATAATAATAACAACAAGAACAGGAGATGAAGAGATGTCTACATGAAGCCTTGTTGTGCTACTTGTGGTTGGAAGCCACCGACAGCAGCAGGCATTACATTAGGCTGCATGCCACCCATTGGCATGCCTTGTGCTTGTGGTGGCATCATACCGGCTCCGGGCATCATACCAGCTCCGGGAATCATTCCAGGACCAGCGGTCAACATCAATTGAGGTTCATCTGCAGCGCGAATGACAGTCAGTCACACACACACACACACAAACAAACAAGTCAAGAAATGATGCGGGACGTGGTGATGGCGGTGCAGGCATACAATAGGGGTATCCACACAGACATCATCGTTAGCCAGTCGTAATGAACCGCGCGCACCATAAACACACTATACATGCTTGCCAGATATGGAGAACGCGAAATATACTCTGTACGAGTGTACATGTGCCCGCCGTATCCGTCTGTCTGTTTATCTCTCCAGTCATACATCAGCACTGGAACACACACTCTATAAACTTACTCATCATCATTGGCTGTTCTTGTTTCTCGCTCTCGGCTTCCTCTCCCTTTGTCTCCAGACGCTCAACACGTCCAATGTATTCGCGGATGACCTGCACTAAGAACGGCATGGCAAAGTCCATGATATTGTTTTTCCATGACAGCTCCAGGATGACGTCTGGGCGCAGCAAGTCGTAGCAGGCATACAGGCAGGCGGCGAAGCAGTCGTGGCGGTTGATCTCCAGGAACCAGGCGAGCAGACCCTCGGCAATCTCGGTGTTGCGCGAGTCGGATGCGTATTGCATGGCATCCTGCAAGATACACAAGAACAAAAATACACAGACACAGGATTCTCAAGAAATGTCAATCTCGCAGGGCTGGTCTCAAGCATCCATGCCAGCAATCACAGCTACCAGTACTTACTATGGGGCATCATCTCTTTTTCCCAAAGGTTCCCATTTCAAACAACAATAACACCTCAGTTTCGCAAGTGCAACACCTATGACTGGTTGTGTCTAGCCGGCTGGACTGCGGCAGTGCCAAGAAGACACCGAGGTACATCACTCACTCACACGTACACACACACACAGCATACCTTGTAGAGATGGTCGCGCTTGCACAGCTCGGTGGCCTGCTGCCAGCGGTTGTTGCCGCGGTACAGGTAGGCGGAAATGCGGCGGAACTCAATCAGCTCGTGGCGCTCCAACTGCTGGGCCAGGTTGATGTTGTCGAAGTTGTCGTAGGCGTCGATGCTGGCACGCAGGCTCTGGTAGTCCTCCTCCTCGATGAGAACCTGGTTGAGAGCCTCGTTGACAGCCTAAACACAAAGAGGTGAAGAAAATAAGAGAATCGGACAAGCCCTACTAGTAACAGTCAGAATAATGAGAATTACCCAGCTCAGGCAAAATTCATTTCAACGACACATGCGTGTACCCCCCTTCCCCCCCCCCCCCCCTCACTTGGCCACAAGCAGATGTATAGGACTTTGGACACCTAGGTGTACTCCATGGGTATGGACCATGCGACAAATAAGATGGTGCAAATCTGGAGCAGAGCAAAGCCACCAGAGTGCAGCATAAATATAGATGAGAGAGCATGCCTACCTTGCTGTTGAGTGACTGCACGGCGCGCATGTAGGGCTTAACCAGGAGAAGGCGGCTGCGCTTGCTGAAGTAGTTGATGGTGCGGTTATGATCGAGACGCGGCACGAGCACCAGCAGCAGATCGTTGAGCAGCATTGGCTTGATCTCCAGGTAGAAGCTCAGAGCACGGTAATACAGCTCAATGTTGGCAACCTGGACAATACAACAGATACACAACAGACAGTTAACAGTCAGCTTCTGGACATATATTCTAGTCCGGTAGTACATGTTGAATACTTGCTGATTTAAATGCTTGATTGGAGGCTACAAACATTAGTTCTTTTGACGGACTGCTAATAGGCGATTCAGACTACGGCCAACTGTGACCACGTTTCCACGACTCAGATGGATTTGATCAGGGATTATCAATAAAATTTTGAAACACGACTGCATCACCATCGAAATTCAAGTTTACACGTGATTTTGGCCGTAGTCCGAATCGCCTAAAAACCATCGATAACCATTTCAATAATATGAACACTTTCCCATACCAGATACACCCCCGAGTACTCAGCGATGCAACCAGAGTTGAAATGCATGCATGTAACATGGCGCCCTTAGTCTAGCAGCTAGCTGACGGGGAGCATGGAGAGGCCAAGGCGCTTACCTTGGTGATAATGTCCTTGAACTGTGCCTCCCTCCAGGCGTCCACGGGGTGCTGCATCATGGTGGTGATGGCGTTGTCGTACTCCTCGTACTTGTCGTACAGGAAGACCAGCTCGGACCAGAGGTGGGCCTGCTCAGCGGCACGCAGCACCTTGGGGATGTTGACGCGCGACCAGAAGAGCTCCAGATGCTCGCGCATCTTGGACGTCTTGTACTTGCTGTAGAGGATGGCCAGCTCGGTGAACATGCCCATATGCGCGCGCTCCAGACCGAGTGCGGCCTCCAGCAGCGCGATCAGCTCGTCAAAGTGGCCGCGCGCCTCGTAGTAGCGGATGAGCTCCTCCAGCTCGTCGGCGTGCACCACGATGTGCAGACCGCACATCTGGGCCAGACGGAACTCGCCACCGTCAACGCAAGCAAAGCACACCTGAAATACACACAGAGGGGAGAAAGTGGAGATACGGCATGATCAGAGAAACACGACCAAAAGCAGATAAAACAGAATAAAATACATGTACACACTGGAGACTATTGTAGCATGCATCGAACTAATGCTCGCACGATGACCAGGAAAAAGCACATCCATCATAGAATACACGCGATGGAAACAAAGTGCAAGAGGGGCTGGAAACTTACCTCCTTCCATGTGCGAGTGCTGTTGGCCTTGCGGGCTCCATCAACGGCGTTCTGGTATTCGCCCAGGTGCACCAAAGTAGAGGCCAGGCGGGCAAAGTTGCTGACGTTGTTGAAAAGGATCTTGGCAGCCTCGTACAGTTGTGCATCGTAGCAGCGGTCACCGACCTAGACAGCAGCAGCATGTAAGAATTACGATACGCATGCATTAGGTTGCCACAACCAAATATAGCACGCCCTTCATAAAAAGGAGCAACTGCTCTTGTCATACGACACGAAAGAAGGTTCATGTCAATAGCTGCTGGAGAAGAAAGCGTCACCAACACGAGCCCAACAAAAATATTGAACATCAGAACAACGTGTTGGCTGTCTGCTTGTGAATTTAATTCAGTGAAATATTGTAAAAAAAAAAGGGTGTCTCATTCAATGGACAAGGTGTATCATCAGACGCCAGCACAAGGCTGACATCAGGATGTGAACAGCAAGGTTTTTGAATCATTGACACCAGAAAAAATCCTCCACACTATGATCACCGGGGTTCGAACCTGGACAAGCGGTGCCGACAAACACAGGCCTACACAAGCCCACTACATGGGCTCGTCTGAATGAATAGAGCACACAGTCCTTGTTCTGATCGAGACAGAGAATACAACAATCTTGAAATTCTCAGGAAGCTGCGGAGTTCTGTCACAGCGGTGCCACGTGCTTACCTGTTGGATTTGGGCATGGTTGGGACCATTGACGAACTCTTCGAGCTCGGCAAGACGACCGGTCTTGGCAAAGGCAAAGACAAGCTCAGTCTCAATCAGAACCTCACGGGTCTTCTTGCGCGCCATGTTCAAGTAGCGCACCAAATCCTCGTAGTTGCCTGTAGGATTGAACCAAGCATAGCAAACAAACAATATAGATGCAGGCACGAGGACAACATAAAATTCAGTTCTGCACAAAGCATATTGGTCAAACAATGTGTTATGGACTAGATGCCAACACCTGGCCAGAAACAATGGAAGCAAACGAAGGCGCCTATAGCACAACACACAATTAACTTGTCACAGCAGCCGGAAGAAAACAAGCGAGTGACATAGTTGCACGTATAACAGGGACTAACAAGAGGAAGCAGCAGCAAAACATCAGCCCACACCCACCGGAGTTGCCGGAGATCTCGATGACCTCAATGTAGGTGGAGGGGTCATCAGCCTTGATGTAGGAGTCGATGGCTTCCTTGACCATGTTAGCATGAAGCTGGGCCTTGGCAAGCTGGCTCCAGACATCACTCTGGTTGCAACGCTCAGCGTACTCGTACGCACGGTCCAAGTTGCCAATGCGCTCAATCAACACCTGGATGAGTGCACACAAGGTAACATCTCGTTAATCACAATGGCAACACATAGTTTAGTGTACAACCAGGCGCATTGCATAACGGAAAGTGGCGCATAATCATGAAAACGAGTCGTGTCGGAGGTTATCTGGAGTCACATATCCGTGGTGATATCTACTTCCGTCATCTTTTGGTATCGGCACCCACACATACACGTGACGCACAAATGCACCACAGGTGAAGAAGAGACCTACCTGGATGGCAGATGTGTTGACATCAAACTTGCGGAAGATGGCAAAGGCCTCCTCGTACAGCTCGTTGCTGATGGCAATGTTGGCAACGTCGGGAGCGTCGTAGTTGTCCAGGCGTGTGATGTACTCCATGACGCGCGTGCGGTCGGCCTTGATGGCGGTCAGGATGAGCAAGTTCTGGAGGTTGCGGTGCTCGGAGAACAGCGTGTTGTCAAGAACGATCTTCTCCAGGAGCTCGATGAGTTCGTTGGGCAGGTCGGCGGTCATGAAGGCCTTGACGGTGGTCGACACCTCATCAGGGTTCTGTGTCTCGCTCAATGCGGTCTGGACAACCTGTACATACGTAGAGCAACCAGAGGATAGCACAACATAGAGGTCACAACTGTGCATACCAGGTATTGCCAATGGTGCACAAAAAAGTGGGTCGCTGTCGAAATCGAAAACACAATGTATAGTAGCTGAGTTACACACGCCCATACACGTACGAGTTCATTCTTTGGTCATACGTCAATCACACAGAAAGCTGCAATTTCAATTATCCGAGAAGAGAGGGGCTAGCAACGTGTAAGAAGACTAAGGGCAGGGCAGCAGACATACCTGGTCGATGAGAGGGCGGCGGTATTCGTTGGTCTCGATGAGCACCAGGGCCCAGAGGTCGGCGTCCTGGCGGTGGACCAGGTAGCGTGCCTCGCTCTTGAACAAGCTGTTCTCGTTGCAGCACTACAGCAGCAGAAGCAGAAAGAGTTTCACGACAATCAACACAAAAACAACAACGAGAACAGGTGAGACGGCAGAATCAACACACCGGCAACAGCAAGGTGAGATGACATGATCAACAACCGGTGGTCGGACTTGATCTCACAGCCCAAACCAATGTCAAGTGGATAAATTCTTCAACACACACAGCAGCCAGACGTGTGCACAATACATACCGTATATTCTCTATTATAAGCACAGGTCTCCATTACTAGCACAGTCTCTAATACCAGCACACTGTGAGCACCTTTCGAAACATTATAAGCACGGTCTCTATTATTAGCACGGTCTTGGTGGAAATCAATGCGGCATGCATGGTATCTAGCATGTATTTCTTCTTGCTCTGTATGGATGTATTGGTTGAAAAAATAAGCACGGTCTCCAATATATGCACGGGGTAGAGGGGTGTTGAAAAAATATAAGCACGGCGCTTATAATAGAGAATATACGGTATTCTCTTCGTTTCAGCTACTAGTACAAGGCTCCTACCCAAATGAAGAGGGAAAAGCACAGACCAAGATTGTGATACGCCACAAGTAACAGAACGAAAGCCAGTATATCGGACATGAAAATGCCACAAAGAACAAAGTGCTTCGAGAAAGCAGGGCCAAAGATACTGTACTGTAGTGTCTTGTATAAAAGCCTGTTTTGAATACAAGCATGATTTTGAAGATACAATGTCAGCAACAACGTGTGGTTTTAGCATTGCCATACATAGAGTGAGAATAGAAGCCCAGCCCTGACATCGCCGTCTACAGGAATAAGCACGGCTTTGATACGCGGCACTACACTAGGCGTGAAAATTCAACACCAACCCTAGAAATGCAACGCGTCCTCACCTTGATGAGCTCTTCATCGCACTGTCCACGTTCATAGGAAACGCAAGCAAGATGAGGGTCGCGCTTTTCGCAGTACTTGCCGACAACACGGCTGTCGTAGAACTGGTTCTCACGCAGGAAGCGCTCCGGGTTGTTGTTGCTGTCGATGTAGATCTTGGCGAGGGCGTTGTGCGTGGCTGGCTCCTGGACGCCGTCGTGGATGCGAGACTCCAGCCATGGCATGAGCAGCTTCAGGCGGTTGCGCTTCTCAACCTACACGAGTGCACAGAAAGGGAAAACCAGCACCGCAATGAAAAACACGTACATAAACCCACAAGCAGGAAAGAACAGTTGTGTTCAATGAAATCCAGTTGCGCCCCTTAAGTTTGCGCCTTGCATCATTTTGCGGCTCAGTGTTCGCAGGTCTAGGACTGTGCATTACGTTGGCATTTCCAATTGGCCAAATAACAAAGGCAGTTGATACACCAAATTCACCCCACACATGTTTTCTAGCACACAACAACAACAAACGAGACAAGCACAGAGTGCCAACATCACGGGAGAACGTACCTCCTCGACAAGCTGGTCGGTGTCGAAGGATCCGCGCACGGCCATGATGAGGCTCTTGATGATACTCTCGTCGCAGTCAACATCCAAGAGGCCACCGACGACGACGGGCAGACGCAGTGGGTTCACCTTCTGCACGTAAATCTCAATGTACTTCTGGAGGTTGTTGCGGTACAAGTAGAGCACCAGGTCGTGCACAAAGTCAAATCGGTCGCACACGATGATCAGTGGCAGCTGGTCAGTCAGCTTGGCTTCCTGGAGAAAGAGAAGCAGAAACACACAGCACAGAAGCAGTCAGGCTACATACATGCAAGCAAGTGCGAGTTCGGGTTGGTTGACACCAGGCGGACCAGGACTGATGACAGCCAGAAACCACGTGTGCACGGTTCAGTATCATTGTAGTAAAAAATAAACAGAAACTACCTCCACACCACAAGATCATAAGTAGACACTCTGATGAGTCAAAGAAAGATGAATCCATTATCTTTTTCACTCAGATCATTTGTACTGGGATCCCATCTACATTCCAGCTGTAACGTAGCACACATGCACGCCCACTCACCTTGAGGAAGTTCTTGACGCGCTCGGCATCGTAGCAGTTGCTCTCACGGCAGATGCGCTCGACCTCCTTGATCTGGCCAGTCTTGCAGGCGGCCTGGATGTACTTGAAGTGCACGTCGGCCTCCTGGCTGAAGTTGACGATCGACCCGAGGAAGTAGAAGAGGCCCTCAAAGGACTTGAAGGACTCGAAGATCTCGATGAGCGACGTGGTGCCCAGTTGCTCGTGGTACTTGGTGGAAACCTGCACGCAGATCTGCAGGTTCTGTCGGATGTTGTGCGACAGCATGGTGCGGATGCACTCCAGGCTGTCTTCCACGCTAAGAGAGCCGAAGAAGTTCACCAGCCACTCGGGGTTGAGCAGGTGCGTGTGCACGATAGCGCGCTTGATGTCAAACGCGTCCTGGTAGTGCTCAATGGCGCGCTGCAGAAGGCCAGCTTGCTCGCAGAGCTGGGCGATGTGCTGGCGATCGTAGTGCGTGAACATCTGGTTGCCCAGGATGGCATCGGCCACCTGCGCAGTGCATAAATACACACACACACACACACACATTGAGAGAGATAAAGAGAAGAGGATTTTAGTTCAACGGAATATTAACACAGGTGCGTGTGTGCGACGTCCACATAAGTGCGCTACGAGTACATTCTGCCGAGCAAACGGCTACAGTCTGACCTATAGAACTGCGGCCAGGACATTGGAATGAGGTCTAGGAATCACAGGGACAGACAGGAATGTGTACTGTTCTTATTTTGTATAGTCAACTGACCTGTGGTGCAGCCATGAGGTTCATCTCCAGCAGGCGAGTCTGCAGGGGACCCTCAGCGGGACGGTTGTTCTTGAGGGCATCGAGCAGGAACGATGTGCACTGCTGCACCAAGTTGAACTCGGCGAACACGTCAACAATCTGCACACACACACACACACACACGTACACAAATCAAGCAACACAATAAGAGATAAGCATGTGTGCCACAGATATGTGAGTGAGGCACGATGAATGGGTAGACATGACAATGACTATGTGGATGTAACAAACCAATTAGCAATCCAAGAAGCACTTCTGAGACATAATCTACACTGTGACTGCGAAAGAGAGACTTGACAGTTGTGTATGCGGGCATGTATTTGTCATTGAATTTTATTTAGACTCGTACAAACAAACAAGCAAAGCAGCGTATGCATGTGTGTAAGGTTGTGCGCGAAGCAATGACGCCGGTCCAACTTACAGCATTGAGGTCAGCCAGAGGCTCGTCGTCCTGGACCAGCATCTGAGCGAACTGCAGGCCCTGGTCGGGGTTGATGCGCATGACGTTGCGCAGGATGAACACGTAGTCGGGCGTGTAGTTGACCTTCTTGGCGTAGAGCACAATCTTCTGGAACTGGCCAGTCTCGGCAAAGCACTGGATCACTTTCGCGGGCACATTGGCGCGCAGGTACACCGACAGGGCCAACGTGGGGTCGGCCTGCTTGACGAGGTCACCAAGCTCCTCACTGCACTCCAGCTTGTCCTCCTTCAGCCACTTCTCCAGCAGCTGCTTGCGACCTAGCAACAAAGCACAACGAGAGCAAGCCAAACACATTTAAAAGTACGCTAAGGATCCGGGGCTGCAAAACCGTACACCGCATAGGTGGCACAATGTACCAATTTCAACCAAAGAAACATTTACAGTGCAAATCACACACCATCATCTCATACTGCATACGTAGCATAGAAAAGTCGTTCGCCTTCTATGTCTTACCCTGCTGCAGGACTGGGCGGCAGAGTTCGAGAGACTCGTACTTGTTGAGCTGTCCCTGCTCGAGCAGGATGCCAAAGTACTGGAGCAGCGGCGATGTCTGGCCAGGCTGCGTAGGCACACCCTGGAAGCGCTGGATGGTCTGAGATGTACGCAGAACACCCTGAAAGCACACAGCCCAAAAAATCAAGCATTAGTACTACTGCCCAAAAGGTGAAGAAGCAAAAATATGCACAAAGTGCAATTGGAAGCCTTGTCGACTGATTTGTATTCAAGTAGCATGGTTTCCTTGCACTTGACCCATTCTTCTTCTTCACACATACACGCGCGCACGTGAAATATCAAGATGGCAAGCTACAGCATAGGGTTGCGCATACCTGGGGAGCTGCTGCGGCCACCTTGGCAGCTTCAGAGTACTGCATCTGGCCAAAGAGCATGTTGAACTTGCGCACAAACAGGTCCTCTGCACCAGCCAGGTTGTTGCGCACCGCCATCCGCAAAGCCAGGTCGGGGTTTTGCAGTGTGTTTGTGATGTACGGGATGATGTTAGCCTCATCGACTGACACAGACAGAACCTGACGGGCAGATCAGCAATAAAAGACAGGAGAACAACAATCAGACACTGCTATATACTATGCAAACATGATACGAGCATCACACACACTCACTCACAGCGTTGCAAATGCTGATTACAACACGGTAAAGCGAAACAAACAAGAAACCGTTGCTGGAGATCTGATATGACAGGAGGCTGGTGTAAGTGATAACTATCATGTACAGAGGGTCTCTGAAAGTGCCACATGCTGCGATCAAAGAAATCCTCCCAACGATTATTCTGGTCGCGCACTGGCTGGCTAATCATCGCAGTTCATTGTACTCCCAAGCGAGAATGCAGCACCAACCAGCTTAGCCCACAATTGAGCCACGCAAATACAGACTAAGTACACAGGTGAGACAGACGCTCACCTGTCCCTTGCGGTTGACACCGATGATACCGCTGGTAGGCTCGTAGAAGGCAGTGACGAAGATGGTGTCGCCGCTGATGCGGTTCATGTAGATGCAGGTGCCGGTCTCCAAGTCGTACAGGTGAACATAGCCGTACTTGGTGATCATGAACACCACATCGTGCTTAGCACTGGCCTGAACATCGACACACACACACACACGTGCATACAGAATAAGCGCAAGAATGCACATACACATGTAAAGTGGACAGCTATACCGCCACAAGTGTACAGACTCAGAGCAAAGACTAAACTTCTGCCTCAATATAAAAATGTGGTAGAAAAGGCATCCAGCCATAACCCCCTCCAGCAGAGCCACAAGCCATGTATTGCCCATATTCGGATGGGGGAAAAAAGAACAGAAAGTGCACTCACCTGCATGGCAACCGGGAAATCATTTTGGGCCTCCGGTGGGAAGAAGACGTCGACGGCCTTCTTGGTGAATGGCTGGTTGCCGGCCGCTGGGGAACCGACTTCAATGACATGAAGCTGCACCACATTACAACAACCAAACACAAGTGTACAGCATAAGTTTTATAACCAGTGCTACAGACTATGGTGTAGAGGCAAAGCGGTGGCCTGCAGATGCGGATGCCGCGAAAATCATTATACATGTACACTCTGCTCCTGTCTACTGACAATGCGCTGTCTTACGAGCTAATTACGAGTTGCTCAAAGCAACACCATGAACAGTGCGGAAAAGAAAGAAAACCAGGATGTGGCCATAGGTCCCGATAACAAACTCACTCACAGTCACACACACAGTCAAACTAGGACTATGTTGACTTGAGCAGTTCCAGGTGTGCATGAAAGGAGCCCGCGTTGCCCATACAGCAGTGAAGAGAGTATGCACAGTTGTTTGTTGCAAGTGAAATGCAACACTTGTCATATGGGACAGCGCCACGAAAGATGGACACAATGATGAAATGCCTTATACGGGACAGCGCCACGAATGGACGCAAAGTTGATATGCACTGCACATGCCTTATATGCAAAGTCGAATGCATCCCAAAAGAGGTCGATGGGTCGTAACCTACGTACACATAAGTTGCACTTCGAAGTAATGCTAAGCATTCCATATTTGGCAGCAGTCTCGAACCTTTTCCAGATATTACACATTCGTGAATATTTTGATGCTAAAGGACAACTGCATTGGAGTGTCATTGATAAAAGGTGCATGCAATACTATGTAAGGAGGACTGCAGAGGCTACACCTGGCGGTGATCAGCGTCGAAGTTAGAAGTTCTGCTGCTAGCTACATGTGCGGGGAGACTCACCTTTCCACCGGTGGCGGTGCGCACGGCGAAGCAGAAGAGCGTGGACTCGGTGGAGTTACCCTGCATCTTGAACTGGGCAAAGCTGGCGGCGTGGCCCTCGATGGGCTGGCTGACCTTGCGCTCGACCGAGTAGAGCTGCATGGCACCGACAACACGCTGCGACTGAGCAGTGATTCCGACCAGCAAGAGCCACTTCTGCTCCTTGTCAGTGCGGTAGTTGATGATCTGGCAGCCAGCCAGGTTGGCATGGCGCTCGAACATCTTCACTGGCTCAGATGCACCTGACAAAGAGAACAAAACAAACATGCACAATTCGACTGAGTAAACACTGTTTCACAGACCATTGGACGCCCATCGCCGAAGGCGATGATAGCGATGCTACAGCAGAAGCCATAGCAGCTTGTGCTGGGATTGCACCATTCAACAACTTGCAAGGCTGAAGAATTGACCGCCACTATTCAGCCTGGTCTACACCACACAGCTATGAAGTGACTTTTTCTGGCCAGTGAATCCCTACTTTTTGGTCTTTTTTCATTTTTTTCCCGCACACACATCACACCACATACTCCGGCATGCACTGGCTGTTGGTAACCACCCAGGAGAATGAAAGAAAAGTCAGGAGAAGTCTGAGAAAGAGAAGAAAGACGTGTGTGACCATAATCGTCGGGAATCGAACCCGCAACCTCTCGATTGGAAATCGCTGCACATACCACTGCACCATATGGGACACACACAGACAGACAGACACAGACACACACGCACACAGAATCGTGCATGCGACAAGCTTCACCTATAACAAACTTCGGATGGTATCAGGCTTCTGGCGGCAGGTCGAAATGTGATAATAGTCCAAAGCGAGCCACTTCACCCAGGGGCACGTTCAAGCTACACTACCTACGGTAGCAACTATGACCTGACCTGGTCTGACATCACAGCGCGCGCACACACACACACACGCACGTATATGCACGCACGCAAACAAACGGACGCATACACACACACACGCTACTGCCTTTGCTTACCCTCCATCGACCAATGGTAGACAGCCACCTCGGTGACCAGAGCGATGGTGTTGACAGAAATCCACTTCCAGAAGACGACATCGTCAGGGGCGTTGTACGCCTTCATCTTGCTCTTCATTTCAATATTGAAGATCTGAAGGGTCTTTCCAGCTGCAAATAACAACACACAGAAAGTTCAATCACATTCGCCAGTGTCGACGACACGGTCATGAGTTCCAGTACGACTAGTGCTGCGCAACTATGTTATACTACTATAGCGGACATCGAAATCCGTTGAGAAGTTCAGCAGCCACGGGGTGCTGGCCTTGCAGCCGTGAGCACTCCTGGTCCATGTTTACAGTGTGTGCGTGAACTACAGTGCACGTACGCGCTATAAGCAGCAAGGGTGCCGGGCCCCGGACATGGCCTTGGGTTCCATTGCCCAACACAGAATCTCTATTCAAGACAGGACTTGTCAAACTATTGAAGTACTTCAGTAAGTTGTATGGCTGTGGTGGAGCTATTTGGCATGTCCACAACAACAAACGCCCCTACTGCCATACTGCACTCCAACCCAGTTTGAATTCCTGCGCACTATGAATTCTAGTATGGAAAATAGTTATTTGCACAACTTCACATCAGCGCCTCATCACGTCCAAAGGCACTAAATAATTATTTGGGGAAAATGCAAGTATTCGAGCAAGCTAAATCCACACGGCGTCGTGTACGGAAACTAATAAACAGTATGGCAGCGAGCGCCGGTCACGCGAGCATTGCCTCGAGTGATTTCTGAATCCTAACCGAAGAATTTTTCAATTCCAAAAGTTAGTTCGAGATTGCATTCCAGCACATTATTTCGCTGCTCTCAGCAGCACGCGATGTATAACTAGACCACATGCTGACCGGTGACGCTCCATTTGTTCCACTTCAAAGAAAATTATGCCCACTTTACAAGCAGTTGCCATGCACTGTTCTCGAGTGGGAAATCGCACTCGTGATGCCTCAAACAGGAAAGAGGAAGCTATTGTGCCGACGTTGCTGCATAGGGAGTTCACGTTACGAGAAAATCTGTAAAGCACACGTCCCTACTCACCCTTCAGGGCGATCACCTTGGACGCCGGGTTCATGATAGCGGAGTCAGCCGAGATGGGACGTCTGGTGGGGTTTCCAGGGTCAGCCATGTCAACGATGACGACCTGAGCCGTCTCGCCAACTTTCTCGCGGACACAAATGTACTTGTCCGACTCCATGGTGAGAGTGGCAAAGCCAATGTTGGCGGCGTTGATGCCAACATTTTGAAGCTATATGCACAGCACACAGCACAGGAACAATCCTCCCATTAGCCTGCTGGCGGGTATAAGCGTACTAGTAACCCCCAGTAGGCAAGCTGACACTATCCATGAACGCAACATTCCCTGTGATGTAACAAATTCTCGATGTGGCAGCTATCCATATCAAACGCGATGCGCAAAACAGGCAATAAACCTGCAACAGCTCCACTCCATGGGCTAACTAACTTACCTGGCAGTGCTCCTGAAAACGAATAGGTAATACTTGAGACATGGTTGTGAGAAGGTTGAACAGCAAACAGCAACAGTTCTCCCTCTCTCTCCACAACCAGAGCGAGAAGGATGAACGTAACTTCGAATGACGCGCATGCGCACTGCACCGCTCTGGTGCGGCGCCGCGGCGGCGCTACCTTGACACGTCAAGCGTCCCTAGCCCCTCGTACCCGTACCGTAGCCCGCCAAACAGTCAAAAAAGCTGAAGAATTTATAGGGATATCAGCGAACGCACTGCGCAGCCCATCTGCGCAGGTCAGCCTGGCCCATCTACGCGCGGCCGACAAAAAAACTCATGAACCCTTTCATTTTTTTGCAAAATAAATCGTGCGAAGAAGATGCACGGAATGGCTGAAAACTAGGCTGAGGAAAAGTAGCATCCAGAGACTCTCAAACAAATTCAGGGCCCATCGCTTCTGACAATGGCAGCGAAGACATCAGGGAGCTGATTGCAGCAACTCTCTACCAAGCGCGACGCTGGTTACTCACCAGGGCAGGGCGCTTCCATCGCGCAAGAAATGGCCGCGAGAGAGAAATGCAAGTCCGATTTTGGAACGATCCAACCAGGGTAATCCCTTGAAAATTGGCCTGAACACCTCTCATACTGGTGTTTCACGATGTGCAAACTTTCAGAGAAATCGACCGGGGAGAACGTGGTGAGCTCGTGGGTCCTCCTGTATCGCGTATGATTTGAATGGTCGCGGGGACAGAAGAACAGTAATTTTACGACTCCCAGCGGTGCAAACAGACCGCGGCCATGTTTTCTCTGTCGGCCGCGATCACGTTCAAAAAATCGATGACGCAATGCTTGCGCAGAGGCCTGCGCAGTGCGTTCGCTGACATCCCTAGAAGAAAGCAGAAAATGCTCATTCCCTTGATCCGGTATATATCCCTGCATATGGGCACTGCAAAATTAATAATCATTCACAACTCATTATTTTCATTTCACAGAATCAAGTGGAAGTCTGCCAAGGAGTTGATATACACTAATTTGGTGTTCTTAGGTGTTGATCAGGGAGTCGTAAAAGCCCGGGAGAGGACACGGGATGCGCGCACGCGGACGATGTTTGCCTCGGCCAGAAAGTGAAGCACGCTAGGCCGGCGCGGCCGGATCTGCTCGATCCACGGCGCTGTGCTTGTTTTCAGGGCAGGGAGTCCTAAAATACCAATATTTTACAACTCGTTGTTGACACCATTATCCGAAACTGGTGGCGAAGGAAGGATAAACATGATTGTATGTCTGTCAGACTCAGTACAGGGGTAGGGAGTTGTTGTGAAATGATGTGTTGTTTTCCTGTGTGATGGCATTCCCCAAACTGTCTCGTCTAGTCGCGTGCATGTGTGATATGAGCATGCGCGATGTTGTAGTCGAGAGTCCTTTTGTCAGTCTTCTTGTTCGTCCTTTTGAGTGTTGTCTCCATTTCCGTAATGTCAATAATAATTATGTAAACCAAACTAGTCTTGTCCTTTGTGTCCTGCGTCCCGGGGAACGGAATGGCTGTGATTCCGTTACAACGTGGTGCCGAAACCCGGGACGCAGAGGATGAGTAAGTTTGTCATGAGTCTGTTCGTCGTCGTCAACAACTAATACAAGTAATAGTACAACTAGAGAGTAAGCGTGGGGATGGAGGAGAGACGAGGAGCTGGTGGAAGCGGAAGAAGACGCGGAGAGGAGGCAGAGAAGGTGGTGGACCGGCAGAAGCTGGGGACTGGAGCCTGAGACGGCAGGAACCGCGACGGAGCGTGTGGCCGTGGCTCGCCAGAGGACAGTGGATGAGTCTGGCATCACCGACTGTGTGTCGTCCTTTGTTGTTCGTCTTGTTGTTGTCTTGCTCGCTGTGTTGTCTGATCGTGTTTCTCTCGCTGCTCAGTTCGTTGCTTGTTGCTGTGTTGTTTCAGTTTGGTTGTTGTCGGTCTGTTGCTCTTCTATTCGTTCTGTTGTTCTCCATTGTTTTTGTTGTAGATTTATTTGGTGCGGCTGTGCGCATGTTAAAATATTATTTAGTTGGAGCTTCGGCTCCCATGTTTCGGTTGGCCTTGTGTGGCGTGGCCTGGTTGTAGAGCGTCGGCTCTAGGTTGATGGTTGGTTTTCGTTTTTCTGTTCTGCTGTGGTTCCTTTTGCTGTTGTGCATGTGGAACGTGGTGTCGGTTTATTATTTTGTGGAATGTCATCAAGGGGGCAGGTGTTGTGAAATGATGTGTTGTTTTCCTGTGTGATGGCATTCCCCAAACTGTCTCGTCTAGTCGCGTGCATGTGTGATATGAGCATGCGCGATGTTGTAGTCGAGAGTCCTTTTGTCAGTCTTCTTGTTCGTCCTTTTGAGTGTTGTCTCCATTTCCGTAATGTCAATAATAATTATGTAAACCAAACTAGTCTTGTCCTTTGTGTCCTGCGTCCCGGGGAACGGAATGGCTGTGATTCCGTTACAGAGTTGAGTGTGTGTGTGGGGGGGGGGGGGGGGGGGAGGCGTGTGTATGTGCACATGTGCTTGTACTTTTGTGTGTGTTTGTACAGTGTTTGTGTGTGTGCTTGTGTGTGTGCGCGCGAACGTGTGTGTGCATTTTTGTGCACAATTCCGTTATGAAGTACAAATGATAGGTTTACCTTTTGTACACTCGCCAAGACTTCCGTTTCCTAAACGGCTCAAGTCACCGCGTACTCAGTATACGAGTAGAAAAGTGTTGAAATTATCAAGATTTATAAATAACGACCTGCAACCATGTACAATGTAGATAGATAGGGAACACACATTGATTGTTTTTAAAAGAATCCAGGCATTATCATGAATCATGGAACGAGTGCGTAATATTGCTCTATGTTGCGTTTTGACGATGCTGAAGGAAGGGAGCCGTCGCGATTTACTCACAACACACGCACAGAAGTCCACTCGACTGCAATTTCTGACACAAATTCATAAATCCACGAGTACGCCGAGGAAGCTCAGCGGATCTCCACAAGAACTTTCGCCCATCACCTGCAATGGAATATGGGCTGTATGATACGACCAGTGGTTAACACGGGAAGTGGCGTCATTTTCCACAAATCTCGTTTCATTCACAACCATTTGACTGCAATTCAGTGCAATTTCTGCCACAAATTCAACTCCACGAGTACGAGGAAACTCAGCGGATCTCAACACGAACGTTGGCCCATCACCTGCAATGGAATATGGGCTGTATGCTACGACCAGCGGCTAACACGGGAAGTGGCGTCATTTTCCACAAATCTCGTTTCATTCACAACCATTTGACTGCAATTCAGTGCAATTTCTGCCACAAATTCAACTCCACGAGTACGAGGAAACTCAGCGGATCTCAACACGAACGTTGGCCCATCACCTGCAATGGAATATGGGCTGTATGCTACGACCAGCGGCTAACACGGGAAGTGGCGTCATTTTCCACAAATCTCGTTTCATTCACAACCATTTGACTGCAATTCAGTGCAATTTCTGCCACAAATTCAACTCCACGAGTACGAGGAAACTCAGCGGATCTCAACACGAACGTTGGCCCATCACCTGCAATGGAATATGGGCTGTATGATACGACCAGCGGCTAACACGGGAAGTGGCGTCATTTTCCACAAATCTCGTTTCATTCACAACCATTTGACTGCAATTCAGTGCAATTTCTGCCACAAATTCAACTCCACGAGTACGAGGAAACTCAGCGGATCTCAACACGAACGTTGGCCCATCACCTGCAATGGAATATGGGCTGTATGATACGACCAGCGGCTAACACGGGAAGTGGCGTCATTTTCCACAAATCTCATTTCGTTCACCCCAACTCAAATAAAAGTGAAGTACAATTAGGGATTTGTCTTGCATTTCCATCGCCTCAGAATAAATTAACTTCGATAAACTGAGAGAGAATGAGTGAGGCAGCTGGAAGATGAGGATGAAAATAGAGATCAGAAGACTCGACGGAGCAATCGTCTCCGTGCTCTAAGAGAAATCGGAGAATGTCCCAATTAGTATTTCAAGAAGACATCACAATTTTCGAAAATATTAATTTCCTTGCCTCGCAACACCGTTCCCTGGCAGCGTTCCCCGGCAGCGCGAGGCAAAGATGTTTTCTGGGAATGTTAGTCCACAGGCCCAAAGCTCAAAAATGATTTTTCGTTCCCATTTGGGGTGTACCAAGGTTTGACAGGTGCAAATGATAGAGTAAGACAAGAGCTATCACATCATGTATTGCATTCGTACTAGTGGTGGTGCTACATTGACTTATGGCCCAGACACTATTTACACAGTGTTGTCATGGCAACCAAGGCTAGATTGGCATTGTAAGAGTGTTTCAGGAGGAAATATCAACTTATTTAGACTTGCTATGGCAAGACAAGTCCAGTGGCTATGCTTCCTATAGCATTGGGGGTTCATTCTGGGTAATTTGATAGTAAAGAGGGTAGGCAATTGTACATGTACAATGACAACATACCGTGAATATTAAAATGCACGGGCAATGACAATTATAATGTGCAATTGTCAGATTTTCATACATATAGGTCAGTTACATGAACACAATTCCAGGAATATAATCAAATTGTCATGGAAAGTTGATAAACAATGATAGTTTAATGTAGGAAACTGTTGACGAATAGTGTTGCAGCTCGCGTAAGAGCGCTTCTGTGTGATGAGGTCCAATCAAGTTGTCTGACTTCTGAGACACAAGTACCGAGTGGACGAGGGTCAGCTATTCGTGCTCAAGCAGAGGGTCTAGAGAGGAGAAACACCGCAAAGAACAAAGCCATACAGTTCGGGAAGATTTGATGAATTCAACAAAATCATAGCATGCCAATATTCTTCAAAGTTATTAACAGATCCGGATAAAATATTTTGCTCTATCAAGGGGGCTCTGGAAGGGTGATGAACATATCCATATCTACATTGTATACATGTATGTAATGCTGCTAGAAAGAACTTACTGATCAATGTCATCATCATCATTTAGTGGACAGGCGCGTACGCAGGGTCACCTCTAGGGGGGTTTCCAACCGAATCGCAAGCATTGACTCGTTTTTAAACCCTGTCTAAAGAGCCCTACAATATATATACAATGTACCCGGTTAAAACAGCTCCTTTTCGAAAAT